TATCTAAGTCACTAGCAAAGTCAGAATCAATGTAACCTTTTAAGTTTACCCCTTCTTACATCTTTTAAACATTAAATCCAGATCAAAAGAACCCTTTACGTATCTTAGCATCCATTTCATGGCTAGCCAGTGTATTTCACCTAGATTGGACATGAACCTTCTAAGAATACTAAATCCATGTGCTAGGTCAGGTCTAGTACTGACCATAAGATACATTATTGAACCTATAGCAATAGCATAAGGAGTTTTTTCCATTCTTCCAAATTCATCATCTATTTTTGGTGAATATTCACTTGACAGTTTAAAATAATTTGCAATAGGTAAAGTAACAAGTTTATACTCGATAATAGGAAAATTTTCACATATTTTCTTCACATAAGAGCCTTTTTTTAACATCAAAATACAATTATGCCTATCTCTTTCTATCTCCATTCCAATAATCATTTTAGCTTGCCCTAAGTATTTCATCTCAAATTCAGATTTTAATTTTGACTTAATGATATCAATTTCAACTTTGTCATAGTAAGCAAGTAACATGTCATCAACATATAGTAACAAATAAATGGATTTAGGTCTACCTGAGCCTTTATAAACAAACATGAATCATAATTACCTTTTACAAAGCCTAATTTTTGCACATAGGCATTAAATTTTATATATCATTGCCTAGGGGCTTGTTTCAGCCTATAAAGAGATTTTTTCAACGAGCAAACCTTTTCAGTTTTAGATTTTACTTCAAACCCCATGGGTTGATTCATATATATAATTTCATTAAGGTCACCATTTAGAAAAACAATTTTTACATCAAGTTGTTTTAACTCCTAGTTAAAATGGTCAATAAGGGCTAGCAATATTTTGATTGAAGTATATTTTGCCACAAGAGAAAATATTTCATTATAGTCCACCCTTTCCTTTTGAGTAAACCCCTTAGCAACTAGCTTGGCCTTATATCTCTTATTTTCTGAATTAGTATATCCTTTAATTTTGAAAATACATTTACAATCTACTATCTTATGATTCTTAGGTTTATCAAAAAGGGTTCAGTATCTATTTTTAATAAGAGATTCAATTTCTTCATTCATGGCTTCTTTCCACAGCTCAGAATCAGGACAGTTAATGGCCTCACCATAAGTATAGGTTCAGAATTTAAGGAGTCAAAAGCAGAAAATAGAGTAACAAGTTCTTCACTGTTGAATCTTGTAGAGGGTCTTACAGTTCTCATCTCTCCATCCCTAGTTAATTGATAAACAACTAGGGTGAGATTTACAACTTCGTTTTCATTTTCAGATTTATATTGTTCCTCATTTATTTCAGGTTGAGTGGGCTCCATCACAATTAGATCATCTTGATTAACAGCATTTTCAGTTTGATTATCTAGAACAGTTTGCCTTATGCGTCCAGTTTCAAAGGCTTTATCATCATATGACCTTTTACAAGGCATGTCATCATCATTGAAGATAACATTTCTGCTTACAATTACTTTGAAAACATTTTGGCATTTGGTCCACAATCCGTACCCTTTAGTTTCCTTCCCATAGCCCTAAAAAACACATTTTAAGGACCTTGGTTCAAGTTTTCCTTCACTTTGATGTGAATAGGCAGTGCAGCCAAAAACTTTGAGTTTCTCATAATCAGGTTTATATCCAGACCACAATTTTTCAGGATCTTGAAAATTAATAGCACTAGATGGATTTCTATTTATGAGATAAGTTGCTATTTTTAGGGCTTCACCCCATAAAAACTCAGGAAGGCCAAATTATATAACATACAATTCAACTTTTCTAATAGGTATCTATTCATTCTCTCAGCAACTCCATTTTGTTAAGGGGTATACCAGATTCTTTGCAAAATGTGTAAAATTCATAATTGCAGAACTCAAGTCCATTATTAGTTTTTAAGGCTTTGATTTTCTTATTGGTTTGATTTTCAATCATAGTTTCCATTGTTCGAAGGTTTGGAAGGTATCAGATTTTTGTTTTAACAGAAAGGTCCAAATTTTTCTTGATAAATCACCAACAATAAGTAGGTAGAATCTAAATCCACTAAGGTATTTACAGTTACTGGCCCCTATAGGTCAGCATGCAAATATTTCGAAATAGAAGTAGATTTGTGGATACTAGTTTTGAAAGATAATCTTTTCTGTTTTCCAAGAATACAATTTTCACAAAAGTCCAAACCTTCAGTTTTATCATTTCCAAAACAATCAAGTCTTTTTAAAATCACCAGCGCCTTCAAATTAAAGACTTATTTAAATCAGAGTTTATGGCTGCAAAGCAATTACTTGCTACAGGTTCAGCAAGAACAAGATATATACCATTTATTTTTGGAGAGGAAATCACACGTTTATTTCCTTGTTGGAGCCTTAAGAGGTTTTTATGAATCATGATGTTGTATTTATCATCAAGCTCTCGTGAGGAAATAAGGTTTCTTTTAAGTTTAGGTACATATCTTGTATTTTCAAGTTCGAGGATATAGTTATTCTCTAACTTTAATTCAACTTTCCCAATACCTTTTGTTTGACAACTCATATAATTTCTCATCTGAATTTATCCTCCGCCAAGGTTAGCAAATTTAGAAAAACAATCTTTTGTGGGACACATGTGAAAGGTATATCCAGAGTCAAGGACCCATTCTTTTGAGTCTCTTCTGGCAGTACTCACAAGAACCACACCCGAAATATCATGTTCATCTTTGCAAGCTACAGCTGCAGAATCAATAAAGTTGTTCCTCTATTTCATATCAGAGATTTTCTTGAAGCAATCTTTTATTACATGTCCTATTTTTTCATAGTAATAACATTTTCTAATATGGTTCTTAACCTTCACATGATTCTTATTCTTTTCTTTGGATTTGGGATTCTGAGATTTCCATTTCTTATGGAAGTTTGGATCATACAGATTTTGTTTCTTGTTTTGATTTACTCTCTCTTTTATGTGCAACCCTTCACTGTACTTAGATTCTTTTGATCCAGCCTTTAGTTCAAGTTCTTTATTCCTTAAGGCTGCAGTTATTTTGTCTATAGTAAGTTCTTGACCCCCATATTCCAATGCATTTATGATGTCTCTGTATTTGTCACTTAAAAAGTTTAACAGAGCAACAACTTGTTGATTATCAGAAAACTTTTCATCACAATTAGTTAAGTCCTGAATCAATTTAGTAAATCTGTCAAGATTTTCTTCCAAATTAGATAAGGGATCAAATCTGAAGTTATAGAATTGCCTTAGGAGATAACATTTGTTAGGGATGGTTTTGGTTAGATATAATGTTTCTAACTTAGTCCATAAGGCCTCAGCAGAAGTGGTTTTACCTACTTTTCTAATGACATTATCAGACAAATGTAAGAAAATTGTACTTCATGCAATATCACTTACCTCTTATCTCCTATAAACACTTATTTCTATAGCCCAGGTTATATCCAGGGCTACAACACACTTTGTTGTAGCAATAAGGCTCTCATTTTTTGGCGCTAGAGACTGAAGTCTCCAGTGCTATTCCAAGTCTTAATTTCGAATTTATATATAGTAGACATGATGACAAATATAGGCACACGATAGTAATCATACAACATACGGAGTATGATGATTCAAGTAGCTTATAAAACTAATAGAAGTATGAAAAACTAATAAAAAGAGATACAAGATCCTTATGCCTACTTATTATGCAGATCACAGAATCAATGAATATATTGCAATTCACCTAGTAAATAGTTGATTCGAAATGGTTTAAGAGCTAGTAATCCTTAATTCCACTACTTCCTCATATTTCCAGATCCTCGTAAGAGATTTTGGACAAAGAAAAGTAATGGGAATTACTTGCCTTAACAACCAATTTCAAATTCAACAAACAGTTAACAAGTTTAAAGAAGGGGGTTCCAGAAAATACCAGAGTGTGAAACTTGAATATTTCAGAATAAGGGAAGCTCCGAGAGAATACTAGAATCGGACCAAGATTTACAGAACAAGTTCAAGAAACCAATGAGTCACCAAGACTCAATACTAATTCAGTAGTGAGTGAAGAACTCAACATGAATCGAAGTGAGTCAGCTCAACTCGTCAAAACTCAGCACGAGTCACAGAACCAGTAAAACACAAAAGATGTTAGTATTTCGAATAACCAGAAACTCAGTAAAAAACAACAAAACAAATAGAGTCGAAAAATCGAGTTATAACAAGTTTTGAGAAAACAAATTTTATTTCACACACTGATACGATCTCCATAAGATCCATAACGTAGGGTTATCTAAATTTTTCACACAATAACTCACTCTGATACCACTTGTGAGGCCCAGATTCGAGTTATTTCGTGGTTTAAACGATTTCAACCAAAAGTAATTGCAAAAAATTAAAAGAACACAAAGAAATTTTTCAACCTTTAAAGGTCCGGATGTTCAGTCTTGTGAGAGCATCTGCAATCAGATATAGCTCTAGATCCACTAAGAATAACCAAGAAATCGTTACAATATAAATGAAGAAACCATGTGTTTCTTCGATTTCTCTCTCGTCTCTTTCGATCGGTAATCACACTACTCAATCTCAACAATAAGAGTACTAAAATCTCATATTACAACTCAAAATTGAAGAAATCACAAAGATCGATTACAGATTTCACAGAGAGAACAAAATCCTAACTTTCACTCAGAGAAAAGGAAGAGACGAAGGAAAAAATCTCACAAAGCGTCTGGAAGAAGAAAACAAGAGAGCCAAGACCAAGTTATATATCGGGTCATCTGAAAGGTTACGATCCAAGGGACAGCAACCAGCCACGTGTACGGCTGACACTAATTCCTTCAAAGAGGCAAAGTCCCATTCAATCAAAGTGTGCTTACTTTAAATCTTATAAACCCAAATTAGACAATCCAAATAACAATTGATCCAACTAGGCTGGCCAAGAATTGTGAGGCAGCCCAATTACAATTAACAAAATTCCATACACGACTTGCCCTGCTTCATTATCCTTATTCATAAATATATTCCTCTCTATCATATTCATTCCAACAAACCATGAGTACTTGTTCTGAATCAGGTCCACCACACGAAGCCCTTTTCTTCGTCTTAGCTTTTCTTCCTGTTTTTGAGCTTGTTTCGATGAGTCAAGTCTGCAAATCACTTAGAGATGCTATAAAGAATGACATATTGCCATGGCTTAACGTAATAGTCGAACCGCCTTTGAACAAGCGTCTTTCGGATGAAGTTCTGATGAAAATTACGTCAAAAGCCAACGGCCGGCTAAGGTTTCTGGATCTGAAGAACTGTGTGAGAATTACTGATGATGGACTTCTCAAGGTTGTAGAGGAAAATCCCTTTATCTCAAAGGTATGATTTGCTTATTGGGAGATATGTTTGCTAATTTGAGTAACGATTCATGCACGATTTAGTATTTGATTGTAAAGATTATTTTCAATATTTTTGTTCAAATTTCGCGAGAAGATATGAATGGGAGGAAAGATAAGATTTGGTTGGTGTTGAATCGTTCTAATTTACTTGTTTACATGATATTTTGATTAGTCAACTCAATTATTTGTCATACGATCTGTCTGTAAATGATGAGCTACATTAATTAATGAAGTTTATATTATCAACACGATATTTTGTTAATTCAAGCAACTAAGTTGGGTGATTAGTAGTTTTTGTACACAATAAACTGATTCTTTTAATTTTTTTCTATGATTTATCTTTCATTTGCAGCTCTATACTCCAGGCTGCACAAGCATAACCCCTAAGGGATTCATTAAAGCAGTGAAGTTGCTAACAAAAGACAACCACAAACTAAAGAGCCTAAAAGTCACTGGCATCTACAACATGAAGAAAGAAGACCTTGAAACGCTTCACAGTTTACTAGATTTGAACCAAAAACAGCAAAAGAAAAGGACGATATTATATCACGACTACAATAAATGCTCGAGCCTTAGACACAAATTCGAAGAAATTGATGGTTCAGTAGACGTAGATGTTTGTCCCCAGTGTTACGAAGTACGAATGGTCTTCGACTGCCCTGGAGATTCCTGTCAACGGAAGAAGCAACATCAGAGAATTGAATGTAGGGGATGCTACAACTGCATTCCGAGGTGTGAAGAGTGTGGCCTTTGTATTACCGGTCAAGAACTCGCAGAGGCAGCTTGTGCAGAAATGTTGTGTTTAGAGTGTTGGCTTCAGCTCCCGAAGTGCAATTTCTGTAACAAGCCATACTGTAACCTACATGCCCATCAGGGCTGCAGAATGGAGGGAATAATATTTTTTAGAAAAATGAGTGGTTGAAAAAGAAGGAAAAATTTTCGATTTACGTATAATATTATTTTATGGAAGCTTGTATGATTGAAAATAGGAAAGAGAAAAATGGAATAGAATGTAATTTAATTTAATGAGATCAAACAAATATAGTCATGCGAGTTCTACTGTAGCCATTTCTAGGATTTCACATTAAAAGACAGCTGCTTTATTGAGTGGGACCCACTTACTGTTTATAACATTCTAATTTACGCTAAAAATCTGAATAGAATCGGTCCAGACATGCACTTAGTTTGGAATTTGATCATTCAGGAAATTCCATTAAAGCACAAGGCATCTAAAGGAAAACAGATTCATGGACTCGGGTGTCATTCTTTACATAATCAATGAATGTGGTGGACACCAAGTGTACAGATTACAGAGATTTTTCTAATAAGAATTATCAAATTACTTTTTAACCTAATAAATTGGGTTGTTTTTACAAATTAATGAACCATTCTACACCAAATTACCAGACAGCTCTCTCTGTCTTAAATGACCGCCACACCTTACACTACTTGGAGTGGTAACAAAACTGGGTGTGATAAGATACACAGCAAAAGAATTGTTTCGAGGTGTCAATTCATTTACAAAGATGCTTGATAACGAAATACTATTACAAAAACGTAGCACTCCAGAGTAGAATGCCAAGTACCACTGAGCTCGTGAATGCATCACTGCTGCCGAAATATCTTGAACGACAGCCAGATGCGGTAGAGTTTGAGGATGGAACAGGGGAGGTGCTATTGGTGAAGGTGCCATTTCTTCTACCACTATAAAAAATAAAAAAAACAAAGAAAACTTTTTTCAGAGGAATTCAACCGTGTAATGGAACTCCGACATTGTGAAAAGATATCAGAGCTATTTGAATATCCAATTTAAGTTTAATCAGTTCATACCTTCCGGGAAATATGCAAGAACCGCGACCTGCATCAGAACAATAACATTAGTAATCCCAACAAGTAGATGGGATTTTCAATGCTCAGCAAATGAGTAGGGAAAACATTCAAAACTCATAATTTCACACAATAAGTATCTCAAGTATTAAAACAAGATATTAAAGCAAGTGGTTTAACCAGGTTTCATGTAAGTGTGAAATGTTTTTAGTGCCTTCTTTAGTGCTCATCTTAAATGTATTCTCTTTGCACTAATTTAATTATATCGCCGCAGTTGCAAATAGCACAAAGCAGTAATTGTTAAATGTGATCCAGAAAGGAAAATATATTGGCCACATACTTGGATCTGTGGTGGTAACAGCGGCTACCCCGTTGAAATTGCAGGTCCCATCAGCCATAACCATCCGGTGATAGTATGCATCGAAAGCATATGATGCATGTGCACTTACAGTATCTGGTTCATAGCAAGGTTGCCCTTGTAACAGAGGTGAACAATCCACTTTCCCAGGTCCACAAGCCCAATCTAGGGCAGCTTGTAACATCTTGCGGTCAGCACCTTCCCTTGCAACACAGAATGTTTGATTTGTAGTATCATTTGCCAACACAGTCCCAGAACCAGTCAAGCGTAGGATATAAATTGGCACCCCATTGGCATCGAAAAGCCCCCAGTTCTTCTCTGAAATAGGCCCAGGCCTAAGATCTTCATTGTAAAGTTCATAAATGTATGTACTAATCGCAATCCCAGGATGCTTGGGAGTCCCCGTGTTGTTGAGAACATGTCTGATAAGGTTACTATTATAAGTGTTGGCGTTGTCAAGAGTTGCATCTGGTTCAGACGAGTCACCCTTGGAAGGCCAACCTGATTCGGTTACAACAATGGGAATGTTAGTGAAGTTCACATAGGACATTGCAAAGTATCCTGCATCAATGACTGCATCAAAGACGTTTGTGTAACGCAAAAGTGTATTAGGATCAACAGCTTCCTTGTTAGGAGAGAGTGGACGAAATAGAGCATAATCCAACGGAATCACACCGTTGGATTTCATGTAATCATAATATGGATACACATTAAGCATAAGAAAGGATCCAGTAGACTGCAAAAACTTGAGTAATGGGACCATAACAGGGTCCCAAGAGCGGTTAAAAAAAGCTTGGGAGGGTGGAAATGAGTCGAGGATTATAGAAGAAGGATGTGGTGTAGAAACTTTAATTTGGGAGTCAAGATTTGAAGCAACGAGGGCTGAATGAATGTATTTCATGGCAGAAACTAGAATTGTAGCAGCATTTGGAAGGGTGCTTAGGACTTCGGATCCTACAGCGATGGCAGTGATGTTCGTGGCAGGAACATGTGCAAGAACATTGCGAGAAACCCAGTTGGCTGCAGTTGCATTAGACTGCCCAATGCCTAATAGCTGATCGTTGGGAACAGATACAGTAACTCGTATTCCAGTATTAGCAAGTGCGAGTAGCATGGCTCGGTCTGCATCATAAAGCCTGACATGGTGAATTTGCTGAGCTTTGAGAAGAGCCACCACCTGGGTTGGATTTGGCATGTCAGAGAGTGCTGTGCCTATATTTACACCAATGAAACCATCTGCAGAATAGCAAATAAGAGAAATTAGGGGAATGGGCAGATCAGCAAAAGACACTGAATGTAACATCCAAATCGGTAAACAAATAATGGACATGAGACTGTGTTTGTCATATCAAATAATATTTGTCCAGGACTGATATTGACTAGATTGGCTAAGTTTCACAACTTAGAATGGTTAATTACATTGGCAAATGAATACCATAATCACTTATAAGTAATTACTTCAAACGCCAACACTAATATTGACCAAAATGCGGGTAACCGTCATGTAATCATGTAGGTCTATCTAAAGTAGAACATGTGTAATTTAGTTCTAAAACAAAACATTACATGGTTCTAATAGTGTAATATATAAAAGAAAGGCAAAAAGTAACCACACTCATAAAAATAGAATTCATTTTACTGCTTTCCTTGGTTATTAAATTTGGGCTATTCATAATTTATTCCTCAGATGGTGATCGTGATAAATTCCAATATCTTACGCTGCGGAACGAACTCTTCTATCGTCTTGCATTTCCTCTGGTGGTCAAAAAGATGCCCTCACTTAGAGGAAGGAATAAAACAAAAATTAACTTAAATTCGAGATTGTGAAATAACTCTAAGAAGAAAAAAGAAAGAGTTAAGAGATCCTCCTGGCATAACACTACTAATAATCAAATAGGTCTCCTGGATCAGACTACAAGAAATCCTCAATTGTAAAAATTAAAGCTTGATAGATCTCAGGTCGTATATGGGAAGAGTTCTTATGTTAATATGATATTTTATTTATTTATTTATTTAGATATTTATTTTTTCTAATGTTTAAAGATCAATATACAAAATCAGCTTCAATTTAATGCGAAGTCAAAACTTGAGGCTTCTTGAAGATTGTATTGGAGAATTATTGATACTATCGAGTTTCATGTTTCTGCCATTTGCAAATTTGTATTTCCATTATTAAATCAACATGTCCTACTTTTAAAAATCAAAAATAATTTTCATTTTTTTTTTTTTTTTTTTTTTTTTTTTTTTTTTGCAGTTTCCCATCATGAGCCACATAATTATCCGTCATCTAGAGTTTTATGTTCCTTATAAGTGACAGAGGACTCCATTTGCTCTTTTACAGAAGGAAACGCCTATCATATTGCCAAAAAGCTGCACTACGCTTTGTCGAAATTAACCGGTAAGGGATCACTACCACACACTAATCATATAAATTATGATTTTTAGTACAATTGTTTTTCCTTGACCAACTAAAAGTCATAAAGAGGCAAGCCTTTCATGCTAACAGTCTAGAACTTTATCAAAAGCAAGAAGAATATGAAGATTATAAACGTCCTCTTTCTTTCCTCATTTAAATGTCTTGGATTCAACTTGAACCTAGTTTCAGGTGAAAGCTGAAATGGTAGAGATTTCATATAACTTCTCATTGTACTCTAAAAACTAGTGACAAAGAGTCTTTGTTAATCGCAACATGCACTCAACGAAGGGTCAGGATTTTAAATATAGAATTACAACTTCTAAAAAGTTGCTGTATTTAACAGATTTCCCAGAAAGGAAATGCAGCACTTAAACAAGGACAGAGGCAGTAACAAATAGAAAGACGTGAAATGCAAAATACAACTACATATCGAATATGGGTTCTACATTGTGGAACAATCGGATCTTTAACTACAAATATATTACCAGCTTCTGCTCAATTATAGAACTTTTCAAGTTATTGAAAGGTGAAACTTTTACAATATTATAATAATTCCTTCTTTCTATCATGGCCTGCAATACCCTTATAAGGTAAGATCAAGGACAATAATAACATATTCATTGAAAGCGTTTTCCTAATAAGTCAAAGGGAACTTATTATACTATTACAATTCACTGAAAAAATTGCTTCAATTGTTTAAAAAAATAATAATAAATAAATAAATAAATAAAACCTGCTGAAGTAAGATTGCCTTATTACTCTAAAAAGTTCATTATTACTATTAAGATATAAGCAATTTCGTATTTGAAAGTTCCTAAAAGTTAGATCTAAACAAAATAGGAGGTAGTCCATGTGCATAAAAACCAGTAAAGACAGAAGAGTTCTTCATAAAATATGACAATGCAACTACTGTGACATGGTAACATGTCAGATTTCAAACTACGAAATGACTAAATCGCCCTTCAAAGCAAACTTCTGTTGGATCTCATTGGGTGTTATGGTCACAAAATATTTTTATTGCATAATATACTTTCTATAGACATAAAAGGACACCCACATGAGCTGGTTAGCAATAGAGCTATTTCCAATTCTTGGTAGGGGACACATTGTAGAATGTAGGATATCAATAATGCTAGAAGAATTTACTGCAGATATGATCCACCTTAGAAAGAACTTCAAGGAAAAAGAAAATTTCTAAAAAGTAAGATTCTTATTTCCTCTAGAATAATCCTCATTTGGAATGTAAAATGTGAAGTCAAAGAAGGGCTAAACTAAAGAAATGTACTATTATTTCAGTAATTCTAACTTTGCCTACGTCAACTATTTACCCCTTTTCCACTAGCTTACATTTGGACTTCATTCTGAAAACCTGTTACAACCCAATTTTTAGTGGGCATATTTCAAGAACTGAACATTTCAAAGTAATACTCAAGCTAAATATCATTAGTACAAAAGAGCACTTTTTTTTCCTCAAAATACAAAGCCCAAATCAAAGCCAGCAACAAAAAACACTTACATCCAAAACAAGAGATGGGGTTAACTGAATAGAAATAAATTGAATGCAGAATATAAAAAACATAGAGAAAAAGTTAAGAGAAGCAAGATAAATGAGAGAAAACACTGACCTTCATCAGCAGAAGCAGCAGATACTACTAAGAAAAGTGCAAAAACCAGTAAACCCATAATTTTATTCTTCCTTTATTTTTTGCCCTTCAACTTCAAAGCTTCAATCTTGAAAAACATGTAATTAAACAGCCTGAAGCAAATCTCTCAAAAGGAAATATTTATAGGGAGTGAAAAACAAATGCTGAGGTATCTGCTTTTGAGGAAGGAAAGTGTTAAAAAGAGAGAAGGGACTATGAAAAACGGTCAGAGAGGGAATTATTGTGTATATATATTGATGTTTGTATTGTACTTATCAATCTTGGGGTATCGAATCGACGGTCCAGATTAACATATGCTGTCTTTTTCATTTTTTTTTTTCCTTTTCTTTTTGGAAGTTTACAACAGATTGAAGTTCATGAACCCACCGTGGACCAGAAAGTTCCCTTCTTTTGGCCTCCTGGGATTTAATAGAATTTACTGCATTCATCTATGGGTGAAAAACAGTAAAATCTGGAGATAGAGAGTTGGGTGGAAGTGGGGTTGGGGTGGGGGTTTGTTTTGGGTTTTAAATACAAAGATTTTGAGACAGACGAGGAGCGACATTAACTGGATTGCATTCAACGGCCATCGTCTACAGAAAGTTTAGTACTGACTCGTGCATTGAATTATTAGTTTTTTAAATAAGTTGTAGAAATTGTTACAATAATGACAAATATAACGTAAATTTCAATAATATGGGAGATGCAAAGCGACGGATTTGTAAAACTTAAAAAAATTTATTGACACGCTAAAAATGCAGCCCAATTCGAATAGTCTAAAGAATGAAGTCTAACTGGACAATTCAGAATAAATGCCCAAATAGGATTATTAATTAATGCAGTGGAAGCCCACGAACGCAGTAATACCATCGCGCAAATTTGCAAGACGCCCAAGATCTGAGCGAATGAAGTGCCTTGCAGTCGCCCAAAGTTATGACCCTGTTCTAGCCCAAACCTTCGAATCGCCCGGGATCTTAGCAAACATAAGATGTTATGGTTATCCAAAAATACAATTATCGAATCAGTTATTGGGTAATCTTATTACATTCCACGATTCAAGGATATTCAGTTGAGGACGGTTGAACGACAAAAAGTAATGGCAGCAGTTAGAGGCGGCAGTTCCACGATAAGTTGGCCACCATGAAGAAAATGGACAGTTATAAAGCAATTAAGCGATTTCTAAGCAATTGCTCACAAAGAGAGCATCAAGAGAATATAAAAGGAAGAAAAGACATAGAGCAAGTACTCCGAATCAAATACTCTCAAACAGAGAATATGTAATTTCAATTCCTTAGTTTAGACTTAAAACATTTTTTTAAGTACTCGTGTTCTTGCGCCCCTTTGAGGCATTCTGTTTAAATTTCAATTGTAAAGTCATCACCAATAAAACACCCCTTTTTGGGATTTTGTCTCAAGAGGTTTGTTCCTTTCACAATCGTCTGATCTCTTTTTAATTGTTAGCGACAACCCGCACGAAACAATTTGGCATGTCCAGTGGGACCTTGGTGTTTGGTGTTAAAGATACAAAAGGTGAAACAATATATCTCAGAAATCCAATAAGGAAGCAGCAAGTCAAGGAGGAGTTCAGTCTGTGATCGAGCGATATGAGGAGTAGCATGGCTCTCCATGAACAAATGGACAGAATCAGAGCAATCACAGTCGTTACGAACCAATGACAGAGTTGAGTCCTCGAACCATGCGTGCATTACTCGAAAAATTCACACAAGATGTCGTTGAACAGGTAAATTTACGAAATATTCATAATATGGAAAGATTTACCCAGAATGAAAATGCACATTATGACAACATGACCAAACAACTAAATACTTTGAACGAAATAATGAATAAGTTAGTAGGCCAAGTTTGTTAGCCAGTTGTGCCTCTTACAAACCACCTTCAAATTAGGACAATTGTGGAACATAATTCCCCAGTCTTAAGTGTAAATCAAGGAGTAGAACCACATTTTGATCCCTCTACTTCAAACCAGGAGGATGGTGTAATACCAAATCAAAATAGTGGCATTGGTACATCTAACTTAGGGGGTAACCCAAATGTAAGAGATAATGTCCTAAATAACGGGCAGAATACCCCACGTGTTAATGATGGAATAAATGTTCGGGCTAATGGTAACAATGACCCAAATCATGGTAACTTTGTTGCCAATCAAGGACCAAACATCAGGGCTCAAGCAAATCAACCGGTAAACCAACCTGTAAGAATTCCATATGACCCCAACGTCATGTTGAGGAATCAGATTATGGAAATCATACAGGACCAGATGACTTTTGGAGTACGTCCTGTCATTAGGCCGTTTACAGAAAACCATATCTTGATTGGGTAGACCAAGCATATCCATGGCCTAAAGAGTATAAAGTGCCAGAATTCTCACTGTTTACCGGTTTACGAGAGGTGTCTACTCTAGAACACATAGGGCAATTCACATTGCAAAGTGGTGACGTAACTGATTACCATAAAATGAGGTTGTTCCCTAGTTCATTAACAGGAGTAGCATTCTCCTGGTTCATCAATTTACCAGCAAACTCTGTTCAAACCAACAATTGGAGCAATTGTTCCACGCTCAGTTTTAGAAGACTGAGTCTGAAGTTATTTTGGCCGATTTGGCGAATCTACATCAACTGCCAAACGAATGGGCAGAAGGTTTCCTTCAAAGGTTCAAGACAACAAAAAGTAAATATTTTATACCTTTGCCTGAAAAGGAGTTTGTCAAAATCGCTCAAAGTTGTCTAAGCTTTGATCTGAAGAAGAAGTTCCAAGACAAGAAATTTCCTGATCTTTTCCAATTGAGCGCGAACGTGATTAGGTATAAACGATTAATAAGAGAAGAAGAACAAATGAAAAATTTTAGCAATGGGACTTATTATAGAGACCCAAATTTTGATAATCATACCATTAATGACGAGTATTACGATCAAACCGAAATGTGTTTGGCCGAATTAGTTAAAGGAGACACATATACTTGTCCTATAATGGCTAAGCCTAGGCCGTCGGGCAAGGATGAGCCTATAAAAGATGAAAACATAAAGGTAAAACGTTCTCGTTCGATGTAACCAAAGCTGACCTTATATTTGATAAATTATATAAGGACAAGCAGATAAAGTTGAGCGATAAGCATAAATTGCCAAGTCCTGAACAAATTAAGGGTAAAAAATATTGTAAATGACATAATGCATGATCACATTTGACTAACAACTATTTAGTTTTTTACCATGTGCTACAGGATGCCATTGAAAAAGGACGAATTACGTTCGAGGATAAGAGGAAGATGGCAATGGATGAAAATCCTTTTCTACAGCCACTTGAAGTGAACATGGTGACGTCTGGTTTCAAAAACAAGTTGCCAAAATTCAAGTTGGTTATAGATGATGGAGAAGAAGACTCTGGACCACATCCCAGTGTCTTTGAACGTATCAAGGGGAAAGAGCCCAAAAAGGACGAAGACGTCCTATGTGCAAGATGCAAAGAAGAAGTGAGTTCAAATGTAAAGAAACCAGGGATATGGCAGCATCACCATCGCCCGAGTTTTTTCTCAAACGCTCAGCCTGGTAGAGGGCGAGGTACATCGTTCTATAAAGGATCGCCTTTTGAGAGGCAGTTCAGGCCAGTAAATAAAGGGAGAACATTCAGACCGCAACCTCATCAACCAAATGTATGACATTCGTTCCAGTATGAGGCTGGAAGGGGGAACCTTTCAATGAGATGACTAGAACCCAACAAAGGCGTTTTCAACGGAACTATGGGCGAATGATGAGGCAACAACAGGGAATGCTACGTCCTAAGGCACCTAGACTACTCGAAGCAGCCAATCAAAATGTTCTCAAAGTCAGTGATGAGACTGGTACAGGCGAACCTATGGAAGAATTGCCAGAGACTTCTTCTGGGAAGTCGAAATTTGAGCGAGACAGAAGGGATGGAGAAGATCCAGATCAGCCCCTTACTATTCAGTTTGGTACGTTACCTCCTGTTGTGGCTAATAACTATTTACTAGCCAATGAGTTCAAGAATAAAGAGAAGGGAGAAGAAGGAAAGGAGGATAACAAAGAGGAAGCAAATATACTGGAATATGAAGAAGGCCAAACTTCTAGAGAGGCCTACACTGGTGAAAAAGATTATGGTATGACAGACATCGAAGAAGAAATCGATCTGGAAGCAGAAAGAAGGAGAAGAGGAGTATCGTACAATACTCTGTTGAAGCAATTACACCAAGAGGGAGTTCGTGAAGTAAACTTATTGGGAGAACCATCTGGGCATTCTTTCGATTTTTACGTGCTGTACGGGACGCCCAAAAGGAAGAAGAGAGTGCCTCGCTCTGAAAAGTATGGATCACCTCTAAGAATAATGCCTCCTCCCACAGGTTGGGTAAATGAAGAAGAAGCATTAGAAAACAGTAAAAAGGAAATTCAAGAGACAGAGGCCCAGTGCGATATGATGCACGTTGACTTATCACAAAAGGGTAACTCGATAGAGGACCAGCCATGAAATTGACCAAACACTTGAGGCCATTGTACGTTAAAACTCTAGTTAACGGCATACCAGTGGCAAAAGTGTTCGTCGATAATGGAGCAGCTATAAACACCATTCCATCTAGGATGATGAGGAAATTCGCAAAGACAGAAGGTGATATGATCCCAACGGAAGTCATCCTGACAAGTTTCAATGGAGGAGCAACTTTAGCTAAAGGGTTATGCCATTGGACATAACCATATGAACAACTACTAGGACCACAATCTTCTTTGTAATAGATGGTCCCACTAGTTACAATGTGTTATTAGGAAGAGATTGGATACACGGAAGTCGCTGTATACCTTCATCGCTCCATCAGTGCCTAGTTTTTTGGAATGACAGGTGGTGCAGACCGATCATAGGCCTTTTGTCGCAGAAGCAAACTCAGGAGAAAGGTTCATGTACGAAGGAAATTATGGACCTGTCAGAGTAGTCCAAGATGGAGAAGAAACTTAGATTGTCGCACAGAGTGAAGAGCCGTTTTCGATGGATGCACTCACTAAAATGTTCAGTCAAATGAGGCCAAACATAGTGGCCTTGGAGGAGCCAGTAATTGGTAAAAGAATAAGCAAAGAGTTTTAAATGAGTTGTAAGCAACAAAAACAAATGGCCGATATTCAGGCCTTCAAAGCCAAATTAATGGCTTTCAATAAAGAATGCAAGGACAAGACGAAAGAAGCGACAGCCTTGAAAGCATTGAGAGACAAATTGGCAGTGTTCGAGTTGGAACAAAGTATTGGTCGAGAAGTCAACAAGGTGGATTGTTTAGAAGAAGACGTGCCTACAAGGGGACTAGACGACGAAGTGATAAGGATCGCCAAGCCTGGATACGCTCAAGCACAAAACCCCCTAATTAGAGTGAATATTGGCAA